AAAAAAAAAAAAAAAATCATCACCTTTTTCTCCTTTTTCTAAGCACAGAAATTCACACAAAGAATAAATAAAGAAAGTAATAATAAATTCACATCACCCAGTTTGCTTCACTTGGATCCAAATTTGAATCTCTGTTTGTGTTTTCAAAAATTTTATTGAATTTTACTTTGATGGTTTTGATTGGTTCGAAACTTACGAAAAAAATGGTGAACTGATTGTTTTCCCATCACCATTTTTCTTGGTTCGGTTACGTGTTGGAATCGGTTGAGTTGAACTCAGTAATCGAATCACTTAGCCTGATCAGCTGAGAAAGAAGAAGCAAGCAAATGCAGAGCAAGGGATCGAGTTTGCGGTTCACAGGAATGGTGATTCGATCCCGAATTTCAACTCTTTTTTTGTCTATGTTCGCAACATGTGCTTCCTTATACGTTGCGGGGAGGTTAGTTCTTGATTTGTTCATTTTGCAATTAATTTTAGGTGAAAAAATTGCCTTCATTTTTGTGTTCTTCAATCTTTTCTGGTTTTCGTGGTTGGATCGGTTAAAAATGGGTTTTTGGATTGGTGAAAATCGAGCTATCGATTTGCCTATTTACAACCCTGGAGTTATCTGGGTTCAGTTTATTTTGAGGTTTTAATGAAAAAAAATCCAATCTTTGCACAATTTTTGGGTGTGTAGGTGCTGGTGTTGCAGTATATTAGCTGTGTGGGCATTGCTTGTTTAGATCGGTTTTCCTGATTGTTACTATTTTGTTCAAAGGTATAGAAAAATCTGGGTTCAATCTTTGTACAATTTTGGGTTCAGTTATCTGGGTTCAGTTTATTTTGAGGTTTTAATGAAAAAGATTGAATCTTTGTACAATTTTTGGGTGTCTATGAGCTGGGATTGCAGTATATTAGCAGTGGGAGTATTGCTTGTTTAGATTGGTTTTCTTGATTGTTACTATTTTGTTCAAAGGTATAGGAAAATTATTCCGCGCTACATTGTTTGGAAAAACGGTTAGTGCCGTTGAGTTTTTATGTGTTGGATTTGGTATTTCCAGATTGTGGCAGGATGCCCAGAACAGAGTTTATTTAGCGAACGAGCTCGACAGATTAACTGGTCAGGTGATGATAGTTTTCTACGCGTAATTTGATGTTTTCAACTTATGTACACAATCAGATGACTAGAAATTACTAATTTTTATACTCAGGGAAGATCGGTAATGTCGGTCGATGATTCCTGGAAAATCTTAGAATGCAGGTCATACCCGATTGATTTTCTCGCTTTTCGATCTCATAAATGAAAATCGTGAATATTTTGAGTTGTTGATATTTGAAGTTTCATGCTTAACAGAGAACAACAGAAGAAATTAGTAGCATTGGAGATGGAACTCGCGGCTGCTCGGCAAGAGGGCTTTGTTTCGAAGCATTTATTCGAGACCAATAAAACTCCTAAGCGGAAGCCACTTGTAGTGATAGGAATACTTACTGGATTTGGTCGTAAAAGTAATAGAGATTCTATTCGAAAAGCGTGGATCGGCACTGGTACATAGCTTTCTTCATTCTTCAAGCTTAGGGCAGCTAATAATAGGCGGCAGAAAATGTATTTTTAGTCGTGTTGGTTTAACGCCATAGCAGTTTCAGTCCCAAGGTTCCAACTTTTTGCCTTTTGGTCATGTGATTTAGTATTTTGATGCAATTTCAGGACTGAAATTGCAACAAAATTTGAAATTACATGACTCAAATTGAAACAAATTATCAAATTTGTAGATTTTTTATTAGCAATTTAAGTCTTCCAAATTTGTAGATTTTTTATTGGCAGTTTAAGTCCCTGGAGGACTGAAATTGCAACAAAATTTGAAATTAATCAAATTATAGAAGTGAAATTGCAACAAAATCTCAAATTTGAAGATCTTTTATTAGCAATTAAAGTCCTCTAGATTTGTAGATTTTTTATTAGTAGTATAAGTCTATAATTTAAGTACCAAAACACTAAATCACAGGACCAAAAGGCGAAATGTTAGAATCTTGAGACTAAAATTGCTATGACGTAAAAAGCAGGACTACAAATGCAATTTAACCATAAATGGCTAGCTCGGAGTTGTTTATTCCAAAATGGGGCTCTTTTTTCGTGTTTTATAACTTCACATGCTCTTATTTTTGGTGTTAGAAAAATCACATATAACTATATAAGTGATAATTGCATAAATGCAGGTGTAACTTTGAAAAAGTTGGAGGAACAAAAAGGCATCATTATCCGATTTGTGATCGGGAGAAGGCATGTTCTCTCCCTCTCGCCATTTTTTCCTGTTTTAACGAACCACTTTTATTTATTAAAATTTTTGGGTGATATGCAGTGCCAATCGAGGGGACAGCTTGGACAGGAGCATCGATAGTGAAAATAAACAAACTAATGATATATTCATTCTCGTAAGACTTTAAGACTCATTTTATCATTGGGAATACTGTTGAATGCATATTAAAAAGTATGAATGACATTTATAATTCTCTCCACAATAAATAGAAGGTTTTAAATGCTTCATATTGTTGCATCTCGAATTAATCTAGAGTTTGGTTCTTTTTCTTTTTCTCTTTAGATCAACTTGTGTTAATATTTTTACACCTCGACTTGACATGATTTTTAACTGCAAATTATCCTCCGTTAGGAAAACCATGTGGAGGCACCTGAGGAACTACCAAACAAGACAAAGCTCTTTTTCGCTTATGCTGCGGAAAATTGGGATGCTGACTATTATGCAAAAGTCAACGACAACGTCTACTTAAATATCGGTAGGTGTAGAGTAAACAAATTTAATGAAAAATACTCACACACCATTATTAATTCATCAAAGCATTTTGTGTGGGATGTGAAGAAGTCTTGTACACTTTCTCTCTACAGATGCCTTACAACATACCCTGGCAAATCATTTGGACAAGCCTCGCGTGTATATTGGGTGTATGAAGTCGGGGGAAGTTTTTTCAGAACGGTAAGTACGTCGAATTTCGATGTGGTTTAAATAAACTTGTGAGGTGCTGTAGTCTGTAGAGCAAATTAATTCTGATATGTATTTGCTTGTAACTTGGTGTAGGGGCCACAAGTGGTATGAACCGGACTGGTGGAAATTTGGAGATGGAAAATCGTAAGATTATCACTTTCCGCTTTCTAGAATCTTCTTTTCTAAGCTTGATGATTGATTGAAAAAAAAAAAAAAAAAATCCGCTTCCTTCCGAAATATACTTTATAGCCTTCAGGTTTGTGATTTTATCTTTAACAAATACTCCCCAATCGAGCGTGTGATTTGTATTTTTTTTTGGTTGAAAAATTTTGTGTTTTCCATGAAATAATAGGTACTTTCGCCATGCTTCGGGTGAGATGTTCGTGATATCTCAATCTCTGGCTAAGTTCATATCAATCAACAAGTAAATTAATCAATCCTTACTTGGCTCTCAGTAATATCGTGCAATCATTG